ATTTACAATAAATAGGAATAAATACATCAAATGAGCGTCTTTGCAGTGACATTATCTATCTATCTATAACCTATCTTAAAACCTACAAACGAATATTCATCAGTGTGCACTCTGCATGGTAGAAAGGACAGAGGTTTGCGTTTATTTATAATGAAATTCAAATCTCTTTCAACCCACTAACAACCTTCCTCTCTCATTATTCCAACCCAAACTACTTTTCCTTAACCCACATGCAAATTAAACTCGCTGCCAAAAGCGTGTAACGACTTCTTACCTAATTGAATCAAGCCAAATTGCCTCTACAAAAATATTCAAATGAAATACGAGACCCAAAGAAAGTCAACCAATTGTGAAGCTTGTTAGACACAGTCAGTTGGGTCCGGCCTCCTTCTTATTCCCATCTCCCCAACCATGCAGCATGACTGTCAAAATTGTCTACACATAAAGACAGGCAATTAATCAAATAGAAATTTGTACATTTGAAAGCAAACATTTTAATGTTGAAATGGTAAATTCAATTGACCATTTAATGGTAGATAATGCACAAGAGCAGAGGATGGAACGAGAAATGATTTGCATATTTTTGGATAGATATAAATAAAGAACAGGGCGAGCTTCCTGGGGGAATACCAACAGATTGGAAATGGATATCAATGGCAAATGTGGCATTCATTTATTGAATGGAAAAGGCAAACGGAATTCAGTGGGGGATTTTAGGGAATAAACTGGCAGAATAGAAGATGCTACTTTGAGCTACTTTGCCAAAGAAAATATGTCTCAAGTTAATATTGGAGAGTCCTTTGGTTATTGTAATAGATGAAAACTACATGCTTGGATAAGCTTACGAAGGAAATGATTAAAATATTCTCCAAGCCAGCACTCAGCCAATATTGTTTAGAAATCTTACAAGTAGCTTTAAGAGAAATTCATACAAATATTCTCCAAACTGACATTCCGTAGCCAATAATGTTCAGAAATGTTTGAAGGAATTTTAGGCCAAATTTCATAAATATATCTATCAGTTTCCTCAGTAAATTGATAATATAAATAGGTGTTAAAATACAATGATAAACACACCCTTTCGGTCATTAAAAATACGACAAGGACAGGAACAAGTCATATAAACAAACACGGATTATGTCGGTTATTGACTGATTGATTTTCACAAGAAATATTCTCATAATTAAATGAAACTCCCTATACAAATTCCCTTTTAGAATTCCCATTCCTGCTGCAAGTATCCTACATTATTCATATCTCCCCACTCCCCCCTGCACTTTTATTGGAACAATTTTCAACAAATTTTCACAAGTTTGCGTGACTCGACGTAACGAATATATCCGGAAGCGATTAGACGGTAAAAAAAGTTCCCAGCTGACGATTTTTCGTTGCGTTTCATTGGAACAATGTGAATAATTGGTTATAGCCAATAAGAGTTGTTACCTTTGCCAGCCAGTTGTTGGTTGCTGTCCGAACACCCAAATGTGATTGACAGCTGTGTGTGTGGGGGGGCTGTTGTCATTTCAGCCGTCAACACGTTGATATAATGACCGGCGAAAACCCCTAGACTCGGTCGAGTAAATTAATTTCCATCGAGTGGAAATATGTTTATGAATTATTACTCAATGGCTCAGTTGCTGTTGCCTTTGCCGTTGTACACTACACCTGATCGATTAGGTTCTGTCCTGTCGATAGGGTGCTGCAGTCGATACGGGGGTGTGCCGATCAAGAACAACAATAAATATTATGACATATTGCATGTTTGTGGGTACATAATTCCTGTGGTCACGACGTGGCCAGGGACGCCAGAGCCGGCAGCAGAAACGTAGAATGATTAACCCATATTTGCCATGACTGCAAGAAGAGATCCAGGTAAAATGGGTGTTTATTTTGTTGTGAAAATCTCTGGGAAGTTTGTGCAAATTTGTATTAAGATAATATAATATAATTTTTTGACCGCCCTGCACCACAATGGGTTAAAGATCCACCTGGTTTGGATTCGTGTTGCGCCACAAGGATTAACCAAATGCCAATTGTGGTAATTCGTAAACCTGTTTGGGGCGCCACTTTATCCAATTGAAATGCCAAACCACTGCCACGCCCCACCACATCAACTCGTACCTCCGCCCCGGGGGCACGTCTTCCACTCGATACGAAATTAATTCTTTGCATATTCGCCAGATACGTACGAGTATTGTATAAATTAAATTTGCTTACTCTGTGCACGCCCCTTGCATGTTGTTTAGCATACACCACGCCCCCATCCCGATGCACCACGAACTGCACAGACTCCAACAGACTCTCTTGGAGGCTGCTGCTGGCAAGCCAGCCTGCTGTGGTCGCATCCTTTTTGGTCGCTTAATTATAGCTTATCACATTTCCATAGTTGCGAATCGAGCTCGTTTTTCATCTTTGTCATTCCGTTTCGTGTATAATTGTGGGTCTCTGATATTTTCACAGTCGCATAAATCAATATCGGGGAGGCAACAGCAGTCACCGACAACAGTATTCGCCTTGGAGCTGCTGCAGCTACTCTCTCTCTCTCTCTCTTTCTATATTGCTCTTCGCTTCAGCAGATATTCTGCTGCTTTTGCTGCTACTGACCTTGACATTCAGAGAAAGAGAGCGAGTGAGAGAGCGCGCTTACCGTTAGATTCGTTCTCATGCGACAAAAACTAATTGCAAAACAAAGAATCGCCCAAAAATTCCACAACAAAATACACAAACAAAAAAAACAGGCTGAAAGAAAGGGAAAGAAAGAAAGGCTTTTCGGTGGGGACAAAAAAATGTCGCAGACATAAGGGAATGCAGCAGTTTTTTCTTTCTCTTCTTCATTGTTTTGCTTTGCTATTTAAATTTTGATGGCATTGTGAACACCAGCAGCAACGACCACCACACCGCAGCCGGCTGTAGCGACGACGACAGTGTCGTGTTCAAAGCGATGCCGAAGAGAGTAGCTTTTCGGGTGGGGGGAGAGAGAGATCCGGGGCGCGGAATACAGTAGCAATAAAGCACGGCTGGGCAGGTAGCTAGGCCGCGCCTCTGCTGCATTAGCATCGATGTCCGTTTGATGTGGACGAGCTCAGCTTTTGGCATTCCGTCATCAGAGTCGCGATGTCGTCGCGTTTAGTGCTTGCGGTAGTTGGCAGGGTTGTCGAGGGTCTTAAAGGGTGTGTAAGAAAATACAAGGAACAGGAAGTCAAGTGAAAAGACATTATTTTAAATTAGTTATAGCCTTTCTCTTAATATATTTTTTAATATATTATTTAAATTAAATTCCTACATCAACCGTACATCAAGTTTTTGGCATTTCTGAAGAAAAGAGTAAATTTATTTTGAAATTCTGAAATGATTTGACAGCTCTAGCCAATATTTTCACCCTGCCTAAACAGGCCAGAATATAGGCAATTTAAATGTCTTTGTCCCAGGCGAAGAAACAAAGCGGCAACGGCAAACCGCGAGTCAAAAGAATCGCCAACAATCAACTACCAATTCAATCTATAACCCAAAAACCGAAAACCCGAGAGTCCCGAAAATATTTATGCATTTTGATGCGGCAAAATGAATGATTTGACTTTGACGAAAAGATGTCAATGCCATGAAAAGAAGTTGCAAAAACAGGCGCAGAAGGCGGACAAAGACAGAGGCTGGAACGGAACGGAAAGCATCAGAGAGAAGGAATGCATTGGGGACAAGGACTGGCTGCTGTTGCTGCTTTTGGTGGATATTAGCGCAAAACGCTTGGATCCTGCCGACAATTTAAATGCGCAGCGGCAGAACGAGAACCCTGGGCTGGGTCCGCTTCGACTCCAACCAGAGACAAGTCCGCTCGAGTGGCAACAATAATCAGAACATGGCCTCTGCTCTGCTGTGGTGCTGTGCCTCCGCTCTGTCTCTTTTCCTTTGTGGCAAATGTCGTCGCCGCTTGATGAAAGCGTCAGAAATTGATGGATGTGAATGCTGGCTGAATGTTCAGATGGCAATGGGAACAGAGGGGGAGCACTGGGCTGGAGGCTGGACAGGGACTGTGACTTTGGCTTTGTGCCGCAACGCAAATCTTTTGGGCTACTGTTGGGTGAGTCTCCCCATCGGCTTTTGTGCCTTTGAAGTCGATTGTTGCGGTAGCAATTTGTGCTTTAATTTGAGTTTAAAAACTATGCACAACGTGGCATAAAGTTCCATTGTTGTCAGGGGGGAATTACTATGTCTCTAGGTCTAAGTTCTCTCAATGAGCCTACTCAATAATCTGTTAAATCTGAGCGTACTTCTCTCTCTGCACAGTGGCAAGAAAAATCAACCAAAAAGCCATAAAAATGTCGTAACACAAAAGCAGAGACATTTAAATTTGTTGTAATAAATTGTGAGAGCAACGAGCAGGTAGGACTAGACACAGCAGCAGCCATGAATAAAAACTGCGCAGGGCAGCACGCAGAGGGAAAGAGACACGAAGCTTAACATTGGTCAACGAAGAGAGTCATGGCAAGAGAGGCAAAGGTAGCACTGAGGCAAGAGAAGCGACATTGCAGCAGCGCAGAAATGATTGCAGTTCATAAGCTGCGCTTCCGAGCAAGACAATCCCGAATATATGTATGTATGTTCGAGTGTGTGTGCGTGAAATGGCTTCCTTAAGGCCAAACAAAACCAACAACAATAACAAGAGAGGAGCCGGGATTGAGGCGCATTAAGAGACATGGTAGTAGAAGGGGGAGAGGATGATAAAAAATCAGCCGGCCGACAGTCAAGAATCATCCGCGAAAGCTCAAGCGCAAGCTGCAGGCAAACAACATGAAGGGGGGTGGAGGTCGAAAAAGAGGATGAAGATCAAGATGAAGATGAGAGAGATAATGATGAAGATAATGATGTTGATGAGCTTGTCAACGTTTGGCGCATAAATGAGGAGCAGTCACAGCCTTGCACGTTGATCAGAGTGCCAAGTGTGGTGGATTACTTACGGGCCGCCTATAAAGCTTAAACCCAGTCAGAGTTTAGTTACTATTTGCTACCAGTATGACATATAGATTTATATTCCCGTTAACAAAGGGTAGGACTTAAAAAAACTTGGCCGTTGTATGCAATATCATGACGAAGCCCCACGTGGGCTGCTCATTGTCTCCACTGGCGGTAAAGAATATTTTGTAGTAGCCCAAAGGGAGAACTTCCGGCAGTCCCTTGCCATTGAACACGCATTGGGTTAGGTTGTAGGTGCCCCGCGGCCAAGGCAGCTGGAATTTTCGCTTGAACTTGGGTAGATTGGAGCAGTTGCCGAGATTTGTGATGAACACATCCTTGTAGTACGTATCGATAAACTTGCTGAAGGGGGTGGTTGGAATGGAAAACGGTATCAGCTTGTAGGCGCTCTCGGCACCAGAAAAGCTGCGAAAGGCATGGCCCTCCACCTTTGGAAGAGATTGGAATTGAATATGAAGGGGGCTTTGGTGTTAGGAATTGGTTTTGTTGACCCACCATTGTGGTCTCATCCACATCATAATTCCACTCCAGGGACGCAGAAATGGCAAACTCTCCGCGCTTCAGGCGATCAATTTTGGCACCGATCTTCAGCTGTCGCTCATCCGTCGTGTGGGTGGACACGAACACTGGCTCGTACTCCCATTTGCGCTGGGAATCAAAAGTTAATTTGGTATATTTTCTCTAGGGGCACTTGCCACCTACCTCACCCACAGCACCTTGAAGCAGTAGATGTAGCAGCAGCCATGGTCCTGTGTTTACCCAAAGCATTTGGCTCGACTTGCAGTTGCATCTGCAACATCGTGATTATTTTTTGCTGTATTTATAGAAATGTTTTTAATTGTCTTTTATCACACGGAATTATCGTGTTTTATGCCAATTATTGTTCACTAATTATGGAATTATTTAAACAAGGAGAACAGAGCTATTTTAAGCTGGATTGGTGCAAAATGTCCCCCTCGTTTATGTCCATTTATCATGCAACAAAATAATCGAAATTGATATGGGGCGTAGAGGGTTTCTCTACAAGGTGTGCACTATTTAAGGTGGAATCCACTATTGTGGATTTTGTACAATAATTTAATTGAATTTAGTGGCAATTTTTAGATTGCTTTCTGACGCCATTTGTGATTTAAAATTCCCTGAAACAACTTAATCCTGCCATATATGTATATATTTGCTCTCATATTTATTTCCCAGAAATTGGCTACACCCTTCAACGCCTTCTATGAGGACTGTGTTGTGTGTGCGATTATAACTGGCAAGACCTGAGCTGCCTCACAAATTGGTTTTGTCACTAAAAGAACTTCTTTCTTCCTTGGTCTATCATTAAAATGATGAAATGCTTTGGCTTACACCTAGGCATAGCCAAGTGGGAACAGCACAGAACAGGCCGGAGGAGGAGCAGTCTGACAAACAACGTAATCCAATAATTTTTAATTAAAACTCAACACTCGAGGCAACAACAATTTTTTCCAGATAAACTGTCATTATGCGCCGTCAATTAATTTTTGCTCCCTGCCTCTCAGCACTCTCAGCACTCTCCACTCTGCACTTCCATTCGGTTAATGATCATCATCAAACAGCAACAAGAACCACAATGAGTACAACTTGACGACGACACTAAATGAATATTGATAAATGGGCGGTGCTCCAGAAAAAAGTGGGCGTCAGTGTGTGAAGAAAAAAAGAAAAAAAGAGAAATAGGAGGTGGGGCAACCAGGAGGGTGGCAAGCAGTTGGCAAGTGGAAACCAATTGCAACTTAGACAACTTCACTTTGCCTTTGGCTTAAAGGTTCTTCTCTTCTCCCTGCTTGACAATTAATACATTTTATTGGGAGCATGGGAATGGCTAAGAATTTCTTTGGAAGAACTTGGCAAAGTTTTCTAACAAAAATATTACAAAATTGGCGACTGTTGGTGGGAATTTGATGAACATTTTAGCGACTAAGAATGATTTTTGGACTATATCAAATATTTTGAAGGAAATAAATTAAAAAGAAAAGGGAAGAATTTTTCAAGGATGGTTTACAGCCGAAGTTTTAATGATACCATAACCAAATCGATCTTCACACAACACATGGTCGAAGGCCACTCAAACTGATCCAACTCCAGATAGACTCCTGATAGATTCCCCTCTCCAGTAACATCTTCCCCACACCATAGACCGCATATTAAAACCTTTCAACACGCGCCCAATGTCATAATAAATTAGGGAACAAAAAGCAGGAATAGCTACGTATAAAATAACCGGAATAAACCCAAAGAAATACTCCAACGAGGGGCCGAATAAAAACACCCTCGCACTCGGTGTCTCCACTATGACAATGCACTTTCGTTGGCTGTTACTGTTACACAATAAACACACAATAAGGGCAATCGCGATAGGGATCTCCAGTCTTGAGTCAAGGTTAATGGCACGCCACTCCAGGCCTAAACGCTGCGTTTAGCTGTGATCGTCCCCTCGGGTGTGTGGGACTTGAAACTGGGCAGGGAACACTTGGGCTTCGACATGCCTGTAGGAGGCAACACAAAAGGACTTCTGGGTTAGGGTTATGGTTTGGTTATTGATAGCAATGGTATAGGGGCTCTGTTAAGCGTGCCAAAAGTACGTTGGTCAAACAGACGGCAGACCAAAACTGGGGGTTGATAGGAAAAGAAAGCGGGGGATGACCACAGAGTGCGGATCGGAATGAACGGGATAATGATGCTGCTGCTGCTGCAGGGTCCATCCAGCGAGTGTCCCAACGACGCCTACACACAAAAGTTGGCACGGGGAAATTTTTCCCCAGAATGCGAGACAAAAACGCATCATAAATCACATGACACGAGAGCAGAGAGACACGAGCAATACATGCACAAATAGAGAGAGAGAGAGAGAGAGAGAGAGAGAGAGGAGTAGAGTCACGAGCAGCACACAGACAGCAAGAGAGAGACACAGACAGAGACCCGTACGGGGAGCTACGAATTTTTGCACCTGGACAAACGTTTTTGTGGGCGACTGTCCAGGTCCAATTCAGGTCATAGTTCATCTGCCGATCGTCGGTTCAACTAAATTACTCAACAATCGCTGGATGGGTTGGGTGCTGGCTGCTGGCTGCTGTTCTTTCGATTTTGTTCGCTCTTCCTGCACGCTCCATTGGACAATGGCAGTCCATTGTGAAGTGATTTCGAAAAATTGTAAATAGACTTGATGACTTTATTTAATTTTTATTGCATTCAGCCAATGCTCTTTTGTTTCGTGTTTCGAGTATTGTTTGATTGCTGCTTCAGAAACGCCTGCAGTTTTCAAGGGCCAAAATGGAGAGGGAAGGACACGAAAAATTGCAATGAAAAATGTAACTCCCTTTGTGTTAGAACCTTTACGGAATGCTCCAGAAAACAGTGGCAAAAGTGGACAAGAATCGTACACTCAAGCAAGCTACTGGCCATTTTTACAATCATTTATTTTGGCGGAATTAAAACACACTCAAAATTATTTTTTGTCAGTCTCTGGAGGGTTCTCAGTTTCTGCAAGTGCAAAAATACGACCACTCGTCGGCTCGCACTTGACAATTAAAAACTCCAATTTTTTGCTCATTCCCTTAATTTAAATAAATTAAATTTTATGACACTTGCAGTTGCAGCCAAAGTGCAGCTTGCAGGCTTTAATTGGCTTCATGTAGACCGACATGGAGAGAGAATGATGAGCTCTGCCCACACATTCAGGGGGGAATTGGCGTTTACAAACACCCATAAATAAACACAGAAATTTGCATGTTTAGACTTTAGACCGTTTCACACCGACAAGAAAACACAATTAACAGCAACTTTAATGTGCATTTAATGAGCAGAATATAAAAATAAAAATTAAAATTTAAAATTCTAGGCATTCGAGTTGCGTGTGGAGATTGCAGATTTTCTTGCAGATTCTACTCCGATTTTAATGTCTTTGCATGCTCGTTGTCTATATCTAATAAATGCGAATGATATTTACTAATTAGTTTTATTTATTGTAATTTTTTGTTTGCAGCTAACCATAATCAGCTGACCATATCCGTATCATTCCTCCTCTCCTCTCCGCTCCTCTCCTCTTTGTGTCTCTGTTGATTATCGCAATCATAAAATGTATATTTCCTCGCTCTTGATGATGCTCTCCATTAACGCGATCCACAGGGCCACTGTGCCCCGAGCCTTCTACATTCTTATTTAACAAGATTTTGATAGTTCTTGGCATAATGCACCCACCGCCCCGCCACGAAAGGCAAACTTGACAGTGGGACAAGGTATCAGGGAATTGGAATGGGCATGTGGAATTTGAACACTTATCCAACACTGAATTAAATACCCGAAATATAAGTTTAATTGTATTTTCTAATAATTTGTAAAGCGCTTTTTGGGCACTCTTCAACCCACTGTCTCCCTGTCCAATTGTAGAAGAATGCTACAATGAGGCAAGCCAGAAATCATCATGCATTATATTTTGTGCAAGCTGTAATGAAGTAGGTGTTATTGCTACACAGAGCAGCCGCCTGCCCCTCCCCACAGCCAAGAGCGTCGTCGGGCTGCCTCGTTGCTGGTTTCCCGGTTTCCTCTAAGGCAATCAGAGGGCAAGAGATGGCCATCAGAGACATTCTGTGGCCACGAGCTTTAATGAGTCTTGAGCCGTAAATTAAATGCAAAAATAATATGAGGCTTAGAGGCGGATAGGTTGGGCCTCCCACCGTTGCATGATCGCATGCAAAGTGGCGGGCAGGGCCGTGCCCCGATGCGGCGGCGGCGCCACTTTTGCGCTTCGCGAGTCACAGACACTTCGTTATAAAACAATTTAATTTCCAAAAGGAATACACAGAGAACTGCAACCCAAATGCGCCGCAAAAGGCGAGCAAAATATTTACAAAACTAATTTTTAATTAATGAGCGCAGAAAGAGCAGCGGCCTCAGGGCGTCAGGGCTGCGGCACGGGAAGTGGTTTCCTTTGCATGTCTCGCGACCTTTTTCCATATAATTTACAAATTGTCTACGTTGCCTGCCCTCTCCTTCGAATGCTAATTAGACTTCTTTGTGTGGCAAATTAAAGTTGCATAAATTGTATTGTTTTTTATTGTATTTAGCCAGCCTCATGGGCGGCGCACACCTGCTCTGCTCTGCGCTTTTGCCATTCGATTGTTATTCGTTTAATTTTCATATCCATTTTGTGGTTATGCTGCCGCCGCCCTTGCATTCATTAAGTACACGCAAATGTAATAATATTTCCCAAGTTCTTTGCTTGCATTTAAGGTCCAATATTGGAATCGAAATATTCACCGACTGTGCGTAATTTTGTCTATTTATGAGTCAGACTTTGAGCTCATTGAAGCTGAACGGTAGATTTTGTATATGCAATGTACTCAGGCTTTTGTATTAATTAAAGTACTTTTAATTCACCTAATTCATGCTCATTCTCATCATACAAAATATTCCAGCTGTCTCCCCGTCCAATTATGGTCCAACTTGTTCTGTTTACCGCAGATTTACGCGATTTAAAGGGTGGCCAAAAGGCGTGCCAAATATCAGACTCATACTTGACTGAGTGTGATATGAAAGCAGTTTTGACGCGAAAAAAGCCCTCTCTCACTCTGCGAATTGCTAGGAATTGTGCTAAAACTGGGGTACAGATACCGATACGTTTATTGATGCTTACTTCTGGCTGTGAATTACAACTATACAAAGCTAGTTTATGAATGTGCTCACAGATATAAATTATAGAGATTTACTCTACGTAGGAGCAGAGGTGACTACCAAAGAAATGATCTGATAAGCAGACAAAATAATTGAAAATATAAGTATAAAAGGGTTCAGCTTTGAGAGGTGAAACCATTCAAAGAGTTCAACATGACAGTCCAAGTGCTGTTTGCCAGTGTCCTGCTGTCTGCTGTGCTCGTCGTCCTTGCACGATCAGACAGCTGCCCCGACGATTTTACGCGGGTGGGCAATAAATGTTATTACGTGTCCTTGGAGGCGGTAGGTAAAGTACAGACCCATGGGGTAAAATCTAAAATGATGGCATTTACAGACCAACTGGCACGTCGCGGATCGCACCTGTCGCAAACTGGGAGCCGATCTTATGGTCTTCGATGATGCACAGGATCAGGCGCTGACAACGGCCCATCTGAAGAGTCTCGGACTGACCTTCAGCGATAGCTATCGCCATTCGGTGTGGGTTGGCATCAACTGCCTTGGGGACAGACGGCACTTCAGCCTGTCCAAAACTGGCGATGAGATTCCCTTCAAGAATTGGGTACCCCAACAGCCGGACAACGCTTCGCCCGAGGAAGATTGCGTGGCCTTTGCCAACTACAACAGGGCCTACGGCTACCACGACATTGAGTGCGATTTCGATTTCCCATTTGTATGCGAGAGGCGCCTGTCCTGTCTTTGCCCCAGGCAGCAGTTGCTCAAGGCAGAGGATTTCTAGTGCAGTGACATTAGAAACTAATAAAGAGATAAATACGCGCTGATATATTGAGCCCTGACCGTTTTACATCAGCATTAATATGGATGCGTTAACTGGTTCTGTGGCATTGCTGAGTGGGAACTCAGCATCCTCAACCCCTTGGGTGACTGCTCTGAAGCCAGAGTAGCAATGAAAATAAAATGTCCAACTACAGGTATGTGGCAGTGGCAGGTTCCATCCACAGACTTGCATATTCATGGGGTGGTGGCGCGGCAAATGCCAACTGTGTGCTGAACTGATAAATTAAGCAATTCCGACTAAAATGCAATGCATTGCTAATTTTTGCCAGCACACATAGAAAGTTGCAGCAAGTGTATGCCTCATTCAGGTTAGTTTTTGATGTGTTTGATGTGCCACTGCATGACAAGCGAGACAAGAGGCAGAGTCACAGTCACAGTCACAGTCACAGTCAGAGAGTCTCCAGGTCTAGAGCCCGCCATATCGGAGATTTAAATGGGAAAACTGTGGACTGGAATCTGATGGAGACCCCATCACCTTAAAGCTATAATTCCGTGCGATAATTAAATGTGCTTTCATTTGTATAATGCAGCGTGATTTAAGCATGTAGAAGGAACCCTCTCCAAATGAATATTCACAAATTTCGTAGAGCCTAGAAAGTTTCATGGGAAATGCCAATTGGGGGTCCCAGTTCCAGTCCCACTCCCAGTCCCACTCCCACTCCCACTCCCAGTCCCAGTCCGTTGTCAGTTGTCTAAGATTTATCGCAGTCCATCTACAATGTTTTGCTGCTCCCGCTAATGGGGTTTACGAGCCCCACAGCTTTTCACACATATGCAAATTTTGACGCCCCTGCAAGGGCTTTCCTTTTGGTTAAGGAAGAGAGCGAAAGAATTCCTGTGAAATGGTCGTCGCTTGTCTCGTAATTACTGGCAATTTTCCCTGAATTTGTATCAAGAGCAGACAAAAGCCAAGACGTAAGTGCCCGCGGGGGCTTCCATGCCATTTGATGCCCGAGCTCTGAGCACAAACAAACAGACCATAAATAGTATAAATTTCCACATGACACGCGATGATTATGCGCTTTCCATGCAAAGCTCGGAAGGGGGAGGCCCCGATGCCCCCTTGCAGCTCTCTTTTCAACATCATTTGCGTATGTGTCGTGTCGCGTCTCCCGCCTGTGACGATGCCTGTGACTGTGGCCCGCTCTGCTAATGGGTAAAGTGAGGACTGGCACAGGGAGAACTCCACAAATACTGCACTGGAATCCTGTAAATATTCTCACACTTTTTGTCACCTTTTCTAACAACTTTTTAGGCATTGTGGTTTTGTCTGCACTTTCTTTCCCTTGTGTCTCCTACTGCAGCCCCACTGTACTTTCAGTTTGCCACCAAAACAATTTTTAATTGCTCAAAGCTCCGCGCGACAATGACGACGCTGCTCCGCCCGCCCCAATCCAAATCGCAGTGAATTCATTTTCTACTGTCGGCTTTCCCTTGATAGCGGCTACTCTCCTCCTCCCTGCCCCGCTGCTCTGCTCTTCCCGTGACCCAGGTTGGCCCCCTTCAGGCTCATCTGCATGTAGATATTCACTCGTATCTTGGTCATGAGATCGAATCGGTCCAGTTGTTGTTGATCCAGTAGTGTACAGTGTGTACTGCGGGTGTCTGGTTCTTATTAGCTCTGCACGCGCCTTCCCTCACTTGACCAGAACCAGCAGCTCAGAGCTCGAACAGAGACAAACACTCAGAGGGAACGGTTGGAAATTCCATGAATTAATTTCAGTTTTGCATGTTGTTATTTATTAAAATTTCTCAGCTTGCGTTTTACCCCAAGACTCAAGCTGAAACACTTGCGATTCTGCTGCTGGATTGCCTTTCATATCAGCCGCTGGAAGTCATGTCGGAAATATTTTTTTGTTCACTCCAAAGATTGATATCTCCTCGGCGAGGGTTGAGATGGTTTTTGCAGCTATGGAAAGGCTGCCAGAAATTCCGTTGCTGAGAAATTCATTCACCAAAATCGAGAATGGAATATTTCCTACATTTTCCAGCTACGCGAAAATCAAAAGTTTATTTTTGCAGCTAGGAAAAAACTTCCAGTTATATTTTGGATAAGTTTCTATCTAAGAAATTCATTTACTTCACGCTCCATTCAAATTGAAAACCAATTTTGTATACTTTGTTTGATATTTATTTGTATTTTTATTTTTATTTAATTTTTGTGGCGTTGGTTTTTTGTCTTTTTCTGGTTTTCCTCTGTAACTATACATTTAAAAATTCTATAAGCTTGTGTTTTTTGTTTATACATTTTACAATTATAAATGTTGTTTGTTTTATATATTTTACAATTATAAATGTTTTTTTCGATAAATTCAAATTGGTTTTTTACACACACACACACATTTATAATTACGACAAAATTAGAACAAAAATATAACATAAATCTAGTCTTTAATCGTACATTTAAAACATTTGCATTTCTTGATTTTTTTCGTGTTTTTTGTTTTTAAATTAAAACTAAAATCATTCAAATTGATTATCACAGTATTCACGCGAAAAATAAATATGCCCTAAAAATGTACTTCACTTTCTTGTTTTGTTTTTGTTTTTTTGTGTGTTTTAGGGAACATTTAAAATATTTTATGCATATTATTTGTATGGGTATTCGCTAGGAATTCATTTTTGTTTTGACTTTGAAAATTGTGTGCAGAGACTGGTACTTAAATATTAATAATACACAGACAATTAGACAGTGTTGCGGAGGGCCATAGGGAAATCGAAGGGAATCCTGCTCAAGGCAGGCAGGAAAGTCGATTTGCTATCGAGGGCAGGAAATTCGGTTCCCCATCGGTGGCAAGAGCATTCGAATTCCCTATGGCCTACAGAAATGTCGGTAATCAAGTGAACTTTCTGCTCCAAGAGCATTTAGCTCCAAGTACAGTCCGTTGTTCACTTGATTAGCAATATTTTCGTTGAATTGTTGAACATTACAATTACGCCTGCAATAAATACCATTAATAGTTAACATAAACAAACCCCTTTTATTACTGTTGGAGGAACCTAATTTTAGTCCAGAATTATGCTAATATTTGATGTGTGTTTGCGACTTTGAACCTGCAACAAGAGAGAGCAAAAGGCGAAAGGAAACTGTTAGTAAAAAAAGGGATCAATATGCCTTCTTCATGCCAATCTTCTTCAACTTAAGATCAAAGATCAACTCATAAGCCAGCTATAAACACAAACAAAATGTCTACACACCTGCTCATAAGGTTTTTGCTTAGTTTCCTCGCTCACTTTTTGTCCTGTCTGCACATTGCACTGTCTTTGTCCCTAGATAACATCCTTACATATCCTCCTAGTGCATCATGTAGGACGACGACTCATCATCATCCGCACCCGTGGGACTATCGAGCGAGGGATTGATGCGCTTCTCCTTCTGCCGACGATTGCAGAACCACACACGGACCACTTCCTTCTCCATGCCAAGGCGATCGGCCAGCTGACTGATCTCCTCCGAGGTGGGCTTCTGGTTGGCCATGAACGCCTTCTCGAGTGCTCCCCGAATCGTAGTCTCGATGGAGGTGCGCTTCTTGCGGCGACGACCAATAATCTCCGGCGTGCTGACGGTGGCCTGTAGGGCAGCCGGATCGAAGACTCCGCCGGTGGCCTGGATGGTGCGATCGGCATCGTCCAGCCACTTCTGCAGCAGCGGCTTCAGCTTGCACATGTTCTTGAAGCTCAGATTGAGCGCCTCAAACCGCGAGATGGTCGTCTGCGAGAAGTCATTCCCGTACAGCTTGCCCATGGCCAGTCCCACGTCGCCCTGGGTGAACCCGAGCTTGATGCGTCGCTGCTTGAAGGTCTTGGCAAACTGTTCCAGCTCCTCCAGGTCGGTGGTCTCCTCCGGCGAGGGTTCGCCTGCGGCACGCGCCGCCGCCGCACTGGCCACCGTCTTGGGCTGCGGCGTGGTGGTGCCGTGCATCTGGTGGGTGCCGCTGGTGGGTGTGCTGGGAGTCAACATGCCGCCGCTCATCTTAATGCTGGCCGCCGAACTGGGCGGCGTGATCTGCAGCGGATGATGGAGCTGCGGGGGCGAGCTGGCCGGACTACGCACAGCCATGGGACTGCGTGAGGAGTGCGGCGTGGAGCTGCGCGGCTGCATGTGGTGGTGGTGACTCGGATTGTGCAGCGGCAAAGCCAACGGCATGGACTCGTCCTGCTGCTGCTGCTGCTGCTGCTGCTGTTGCTGTTGCAGTTGTTGGCGCTGCTGTTGCTTCTGCAGTGCCTGCAGCTGCTGCGTGGCCTGGCCGAGGGCCTGCAACTGGCTCTGCATTAGGAACTGGGCGGCCGCCACCTGGGTGGTCAGTGCGGGATCATCCTGTGCCAGACCCAACGATCCGCTGCGCAGCAGCTCCATGTAGCTGTTGAACTGCTGCTGGAGCGCCACTTGCCGCTGCTGCAGCAGCTGCTGGAACTGTGCAAAGTCCTGGGGGGAGAGCGTACCCGTCAGCAGCGGATTGTTGAGTCCCAGACCAGCGGCTGCCAGTTGTGCCTGCGGCGAGGACATGTCCGGCATGGCCAACAACGGCGAGATGCCACTGGCCACTGTATTGGCCATGGCGGCGGCTGCGGCAGCCGCTGCTGCCATCGAATTGGGTGCGGCATCTCCCCCACTGGCCACATGTGGCAGCGGCAGCGGCAGCACAGGCGAGATCATGGGCGGCACGGGCGAGGGCACTGTCATCTGAGGCGGAGACGTGATGGTGGACTTGACCGAATTGGCAGGCGACTGCGTGCTGTGACGCGAGTTGTCGCTGGTCAGATTGAGTGCTCCACCATTGGCATCCTCGTAGTCCTCCTCCTGCTTGTACTGCTGGTGGTTCAGATGACTCAAATGATGGTGATGATGATGTGCCGGATGTGGCAGCGACAGCAGCTGCCGCTTGGCCTGCTGATGGGTCAGCGAGAGCGCCGGACTGAGCGGGGATCTGCAGCGATCACTGGAGGTGCCGACACTCGAGTTGTTGTCATCGCAATCGGAAGCTGTAAAGGGAAGAGGGGAGAAGAGAGTTGGTATAAATATTGGTGCAAGAAAGAGGAGAATGCTCCGAGGCAGAGAGTTTACTTGGACTTCCTACCCATAAATCATCTCCCATTTTGCAACCCAATAACTGCTGCAAAATGTTTTCTTTTTGCCATGTCCTGCCGTGTGTCCTTTTTGCATAAATTTAGCATAGGCCGAGCATCGGGCGTGTTTTGTATACAATTTCATAGTCCGCTGGGTCTTCGGCAGCTCAAGTGAAAGGCCTTCCCCCGACGTGACCACCCACCCAAGCGAGGAGTTTATTATGCGAAAATGTCCCCACCCCTGTGCCCACCAACCCCCACCAACCCCCCTTTGGGACCATAGTTTACATAGTTCCACCTTGACATCAAATGGAATTCTCGTGTTTTCTTTTCATTTTGGGCCTCGGCCCGACTGACGCTGGCTGGCTGCCTTTTAGCTGCTTTTAAGTGGCATTTTAGCATTTCAAATGGCTTGGCCAACAAAACGATTTGTATAAATTTGCTATTTGTATGCATTTTATTTATACAACAAGAAGGAGAGGGGAGGAGTGCCAGGGAGGTGGGCAAAGGAGTGTTCTCTTTTTCGTTCGGTTCCCAATTGATTTGCAATAATATTTAAATACCAGACCAGAGTTCATTTGGCAGCTAGAAAAGCCCAAAACCCACAGCCACATCCTCCCCCATTGGGGTGGCAATCAAAAAAGTTAAACCCTTTGAAGTAGTCCCTGCCCCATCCCTGGACTGTTTCCCCATCCCTCATGCCAGTTCCACATCCACATCCTGTCCAATGCAGGCAATTTTTGCATATGTTTGCTCTGGTGGCTACTTTATGACTTGGCCACCGCCTGATGCTGTGTCTCTGACCCTCTCTGGTGGCTGCTACGTGAATTTGATGACTTATTCGCCCAAGTGGGCGACGACCACATGGTCATCCTTTTCACATATGCGTCCAGCCAGGGAGCCAGGGAGCCAGGGAGCCAGGGAGCCAGCAGCAGCCACCAAGCTGTGTGTTGCCCTCCTACGTGCCATCCATTTGGTATTCAGATGATGTGCAAATTCGATTTGTATGTGTTGTGTGGAATGGCCACGGGGCAGTGGCGTGGGCGAGTGTCCAGCCGGAGAGCAGGGTCTGCCAAAAGGGACTAAATTGGGGCTTCTAATATGCAGAGGAACTGAGTTACTTGAGGTCGAGTAAAGTAGGAAGTAGTAGGATGGCTCCAGGGCTGCTTTAGAGATTGCTTTGACCAAGTAGAGTATCAAATGGCTGAGGCATTGATGGGTTTGTATGGAAAAAAGGTACAATTATGGCTGGAAGTCGATTTACAGAATTGCATGGATAGCTGATTAGGCTAGAAATATTTTTAAAATAAAGTTCCCTACAGCACACAAAACTCCCCAATCTGCACTCCACTCTCTTGGCAAGCCCCCTCTGTTATCTACGCCCCTGTTCCCATTTAGTATAACCAATAAAAAGAAAAGAAAACGAAGCCAAATGGTCAGTTTGACTGCACATCGAGGGAGCTGCCGAGCTACGGCAACCCAAAAAAAAAGAAGGCTCCCACATCAGGGAAGGCCAGGCCGAGCATAACGGAATAATTTTTGCATAAAATATATGTAAATATATATGTAAAAGAAATCACAGCCAGCAACTGTGGCCAGCGCACCACACACACGGACACGGACACGGACAGGGGAACGGACACGGACACGGGCACGAACACGGACACACACTCCCTCATACGAGAATTCAAATCAAGCGAAATGCTGTCAATAATGTGGTAAAAAGAAAAGGAGGAAGAAAAAAGGGAGCAGAAGCTGCCTCCTCCCCTCCCCCCCGAAAAGGTTGTGGCATTTTCGGACCATGACTAACGAAGTCCATGAAATTTGAAAAGTGTGAATTGCAAATTGAAGGCACAAACGAGTTATGAATAATAATCGAATGCTTTATGGGGTCCATCAAAAATGTATAGCAAATGCAGTTCCGGTGGCACACAATTAATGGGCAGGGCAGGAGCTGTGGCAGGGACTGTGGCAGGGGCAAAACCAATTGACACAAAACCAATCGTCAACTCAAGCCAACTACTTAAGGAGCTGTTAAGTCGAAACACCCATTTAATAAGACATCAAAATCAACTTAAAGATCTGTCTCTTTACCCTCTCTCCATTGCGTTCCCTCCATTAAATCACAGACAAAAGTTTTGACAGGAACCGACCCCTACCCTTGGGCAGGGCAGCTCTATGTCTATCCCCTAGCGCGTGGCAAGAAGGGTTGATTCTCTCTCTCTCTCTTCGGCTTTATTGTCTTTTTGTTGAAACCGAAAACATGTGAGTGATTTAGTGAAACTGAGAGGAGAGGAGAGTAGAACCCCTACCCTTAGTCGCACTCCTGCCATGCTTCAGGGGCAGATGTTTCAAAAACCAGAAATATATAGATACAGATATAAGTGGACAAATCTCGTAAATCGTTGTTCAGACTCGGACAACAGCTGATGTTTCGATGCTGAATGGTGGAAAGCGAAAAGGGAAACACTTACCATTCGATTGCAGTGGCGACGGCGAGCGCGACAGGCGGCTGATATCTGGAAGAGGAAAAAGAGGGAAAATGTTAAAAGGAAATATTTAGAATCGGTGAAAATGCAGCGAAGAGGGAGGAGCACTTAAAGCTAAAAGAAACACCCAAAGTGAACACCGACGACACACGTTTCGCTCATAAAATAGAAACATTTTAAGCTCTGGAAATTCCCGGAAAGCGCTCAACTTTACGATACACCCAAAAATCGATATCATCGATATACATTTTGTGCACACACAAAAATGACCAGTCCAGACAGCGACGACAGCGTTGCCTATAAAAGGATATTTTTATGGTCAGCGTCAGGGGGCAATGAAGGAGTAAACTGAGTTCAAGGAACACCTGGTGCTCGCTGCTCTTCGTTGCAGGATTTGAATTTTGGGAGCAAGGAGCTGTCCGAGTAAGGCGCAGTCCGAGTAAGGAAGGAACATTTGTGCCTGACTGCATTTTTACGACTACAGAAAATGAATTTTACTTTGGATTGGGTTTGGGTTTGGGTTTGGGTCTCTTTCTTTGGCTAATTTACGAGTAGAACTTCAGGTCAGCCTGCTCTAAAATGCATTGGAAACTGTTGGTAGAAGACTGTCTGTCCTTGGGCTGGCTGCTATTTAGAACTTTCAGGTTATAGTCTTATCCAAATTGGTTTAGAGTTCTCTAGGGAAACTACTATCTAAGATTTCCCGTGCTCACTCTCCTTCAAGTTCTTCTTCGCGCTCACTTCTGGCACACTTCTGTCGCCCATTTGCCACGCCTTTTGCTGCACTAATTAAGCAACAGCAACAACTGTTGCCACAAACACTGAAGACTGAAGGAAACTCAAGTGGCATGGCATATGGGCCGCCAAACGGCTCGGGGGTTTAGGTAACCAATTTTCGACAAACTCCGCGTTAAAATGCCACATAAATTATGTAAGGAGAGAAACGAACCCAAGAACGGCACGGGGGAGAAGCGTAGAAATAAATGTGGCAACACATTCGACACCCTCCGCGCGTGTCCAGCACGAGACGAGTGAAAATGAGCAACATTTGAATCCAGTCGGATGGGATCTTCACCTCCCGCTTGTTTCCCGAATTTTACAGTTTTTGGCAGAGAAATTGCAAAAACCACAGGCCCGGCCCGGCCCGGCCAGGCCACCCCCCAAAACGAAAATAAATACAATTTTAGAGAACTTTGCGCAGCACAGCGGGTGGTTGGGGGTGGCGCTGTTGGATAGTTATGATGGTGGTGGTGAGATGATGGCTGGCTGGGATACGTTTCGTGGCGCGCACAATTAGTCAATGACCTCGACAGAGGGGGTGGGTGTACACCCACACGCAGGCAGAGAGCAGCACAGAGTCCAGGCACACACACACACACACACATTCATTCTGTGTGGCCATAGACGGCGGACATCACGTGCGCAGACTGACTATCGATTGAGTCGTCGTTGTGGCCGTCGACGGCGGAAGCTGCGTGTCTTGAACTCTTGACCCCACACTAAACACAGAGCAGAACTGGACAGACCGGGAACGGAACGGTGCAGGAGTAGGTGTACCCTCCAAGCGTAGCCAAAAAAAGAGAAAACATAAATAAATAAAATAAAATGTATGAAAAGGAAAAGAGAATGTGCGTGCGCTTTTGTTGCCTCTTTCTCTTGGCAGGGATATTCGTAGCAAAACAAAAATAGCAAACGCGCAAAAAGACAGAGACAGAGACAGAGACAGAGAGAGAGAGAGAAAGCTTCGAGTGCGGCGAAATGAAATGAAAGCTTGATTAGCGGCAGGGCAGGGGCAATGGGGGTAATGGCGGATGGTACTCTGTGCTTAAGATCTCAGAGAAATAGGATTTAAATCAAGGCATAAGTTGTGCGAAATATGATTCCAAGCCGCATTAAACACAGAAATTCCCTACCATCAAAATACGATTTAAATTTTCAATCTTTTGTCATCAAACTATTATTTGGAACACTTACAGTTCTTATTTAAATCGCCTAAATAATACCTCCCATGATCCATAATAAAACCCACACTTTTTTTGTAATAAACCAAATTGCAGGCTGCATTTTTGTATCAATTTCCGCTCTTGTCGTGTTGTAAATCTTAATCGATTCTTCATTTATTTCCTACTTTTTCCAAGAATTAGCCCATAAAAGCCCGACACACGCCCCCCACTTTCTTGATCGGGTTCTATGGTCATAAGTAGATGATAAGACCTGGGTACCAGTATTCTTGTTGTTTGCATGAGCTCATGGACAATGGCACTAAAAATAATATGTGATTGGTCAAGTTTTCTGCGTGTGTGCTGGCTGGAAACATTGTCGTCAATCGGGGAACAGCCTTCTGTAATCTTTCAAATAAATTCAATATTAATTTAAAACTGATTGTAGTTTGCAAAATCTATGAAAAGTGTGACGAAACTTGTTTTCTCTCTTGCAAAAAAACACGTAAGACGCTTTGCTTACGTTCTGCAGGTGTGCAAACAAATTATTGGCTCGATTTTTGGTCACGGCGATAAGAAGGCGATAAGCAAATCGCTTAATGTACAAGGTAAACGCTCTTATACGAATATCATGAGACATATATTAGCCATCGTTTCGTTCTAGCTGTTGCTTAGATTACGGGGGAAAGATTTGCGTCACGTGTCGAATGGTCGAATGGTCGAATGGTCTAAGGAAAGGTACAGCAGCACGCAGGCAAAAATATGGAAACGGAACTGACGGTAGAAGACTTCCCCTTCACAGTTTCCTTATCGGAAGCATAAGCCCCAGCAAATTACTCATCACAACTTTACATAATCAATCAAATGTCGTAGCCCATGCTGAATCTGTAGTCCTACGACGGCTACAGCTCGAGTATGTTTGGCTCATTGAAATTATTACGCATTTTCCCTATCGAACCATCGACAATTTTTTACAATATTTGTCATCGAAATGCGCTTTTTTATGGCCTGCTCTGCTTTTGTTTTTGTTGTGGCTCGAAAACGTTAATTGATAAAGGCAACAAATTAAAAGTATTGTTTACAATGGGCCAAAGCGGTTCCATTGAGTGCCCATCGCCACCAGTCGCGGTCTTAGTACGCTTCCCCCCTGTACCACAACCTGTACCGTAGCCCACCTGTACCCCATTTACATGGTCATATTTCTGTGGTGTTGTGCAAGACGTGCGTCTTTAATAAATATTTTTTATGGCACCGCATTTGTAATACTCATTTGTTGCTCGTATGTAGTGCTCGCTGGTGCTGGTACCGGGAGTTATTATTTATGGCCAGCGACACCTGTGCCAGGCCATTTCCTACAACGGCTCAGTTGCAGTCTTTTTTTGTATTTTTTGTTTTTTTAGTTCTAGGTGGGTGTTAGTGAAGGCACTTGGGAGAGTCAGGGTTCGTTTAAATGGGGTTTAGTCGCAGGCAAATGAGAAGCTACGCAATGTAGAGACTTGCATGAAATTGAAGCCACTTTTACTCAAAATGTCACCCACAAGAGCTACCACTTGTCTACATGCGAAATTTAACTTTTTAAACTGATTAACTTAGTCCAAAGACTAATTCAAAGACTCGAGTACTATGTACTCTAAATAATCTTTGTAATTCGAACTTGAAAAGAATCCCACAATCGACAATTTAACGGAATTCAATTAAGGTGATTTAGAATTATTCAACTTAGCTTTTTGTGCCAAATTCATTATCAGCTAGTCACATTCACAGCGAAATATTCGAGAGGAGTATATCCTACCCAGAAGCTCTAAATAGTTTCCAACTCTACATGATTCCTGCCGTCCATTTGGCAACAGCTCGACTCTTATTGTCCACCAATTTAGCCACATTTCAGCTTAAAGATATAAAAGTATTTACTTGATAACTTACATCGATTCTGCATTATGTGTACGGCTGCCTCGCGGGCACTGGTCGGTGTGGTCTTGAGCAAGTCACGCTTCAAGGAATTATTATTATCCTCGGGACTAGCGGTATGCCAACGTAGCTCCGACATAACCATTTTCACTTGTCGCTCGATTTGTGTCTATGTTTAATATGTTCGATATAGTAGCTATATCGTACGTGGATATGTTCGTTCTTTCTTTATTTCACTTTGAAATTGGTGCACAAAATAGTTGTTGGTTTATTTTAAATTTCTTGCGTCTCTTCTGCACTGTTTACACTGTGTTCTTCTTGCGGTTCTTTTTAGTCAATTACTGTTGTTGGAGTCTAAGTAACATTCGCTCAGATAAGCGCCGGTGGTCGTCTCTTGCGTCCAACCGAGTTCGTGAGCGTTGTGAAACTGACAACAGAGAAACGGCCGCAACGGTCAGGATACCTCTCTACTCCACTAACGGATAATCGCTGTAGGCCGCCCGCTCTGCTCTTCTTCTGCTGCTTCTTGCTGCTGACGACGACGACGACGACAACGATGATGATGATGGACGGTTTCTTTTGCTGTTGCTCGCTCGCCCTCTCACTCTATTTATGTGTGCTCTCCCTCTTTCTCGCTCGCTGTCTTTCTGTGGTTCTTGTTCTCCTTTGCCGGCTTCGAGCGCCGTTTACTTGGATTTTGAGTTGAAATTTTTGGTGTGTTTTTATGCCCAAAATGTGTGTGGACTGTGGACTGCCACCCCAATGCGAGTAAGGGTTGATTTTGCTTTTTTAAGCCCTCACACACACACACACTGACACACGAACGCACGTCGTAAAAAGCGTTAGGCAGGGGAAACGAAACGAAACGAATAAAAAACTGGCAGAAAAGCGCCCGCCCGACCGATGATACGTTTAACTGGTTTCACGGAGTCGCGTCGAATGCACTCGGAGCACACTTGAAGCTTTTGGGCCAGCAGCAGAAGAGAGCGTGTGGCATGAATGGCGTTCGTTCACTCTTTGTCTCTCTCTGTCGCTCTCCATTTACCGTTTGCTTGTTTGAAGTCTTGTTAGAAATGAGTTCCACACTCTGAGTCAAAGTCCCCTGACGTGCCTGTGTGTGGCTGTGGAACGTTTGACGCTCACTCATTCTCCCTTGAGTTTCTTTTTCGTGCGCTGGGAGGAGGAATATGAGAACGAGTCGATGTGTGAGTGTGCGTGCGCGTGAGTGAGTTTTTGCGTCGGCAGCTCCGAGTGGATTGTAAAATGCGCTCTCCATCCACGTTTTATACGTTTTAAAATTTGTTGTATCCACAATGTCTGTCAATCGGTGGGGAGTGTGTGGTGGGGCATTCACTCGGTTGTGGTTCGTTCGTTTCGTTCGTGTGGGCTCCATTGTTAAGCGTGTGTGTGTTTGTGTGTGGGGTCTGTGTGCGACATGCGTGCGCTTGTTTGGGGTGTGGCTTAAAATTTAAATTTCGCTTTCAAATCGAAATGGATTTTTTATGCTGGGTGCCACTTTTTGCTCCCTCTCTGTGCCCGGGTGTGTGAGTGAGTGTATGTATGCATATTATTTTATGATTGGCGCGTGTAAACCTCACTCTAGCGCTCTCGCTCACTCACTCACTAGCTTTCTAGTTCTTTGCATGGCAATGTGTGTGTTGGTGTGTGAGCTATGTAAAAATATTTTAAAGCTACGTCGACGCTGGCTGCAGCAGCATTACCGTTCGCGCCACCCACCACAACCATCAACCAAGACGAAGCTTTGTCGTCCGACGTCGCCTCTTTCTTCTGCCGTTGCTCTTTGTTCTTCCCTTTCGCTCAACATTCGCATTTTATTTGCCATTCATGTATGCACACATGTGCGGTGCCTGCCGCCCTCCTCCGGCATCTTCTTCCTCAACCAGCCATGCCATCCACTTTGGAGCGTTTTCTTTGCTTTTCCTTTGGACTCTTTGCCCTCTTTGTTTGATTTTTATTATTTTTATGATTTGTTTTTGGTTTTACTACTTCATATTTATTTTTACTCGAGGCAAAAGCGACATTTATGATGACAAATATTGCACAATTAACACAGAACGTGCGCTGAACTATTTTAGAGTAATTTTAAATTGATTTAAAATTAAATTAATACCTCTCCACCCATTTCTACACATAAATCACTCAGGTTGCTTTCAAAATTAATTTAAATTAATTCATGAATGAATTGTAACTAATATTTTACATTTTTTAACCATTTCCATTAAAAGCCCTAAGACAATTTCGCTATAAACATATTTTGTATTGACTTACTTCTGCCGTGATTCCTCTTATCTTTTTCCTCTTCTTTTCTACATTTTTATAAACAAATATACCGAAAATATTTCAAATTTTATACAAATTCCAAGGAACTGGGCGCACAAATGAATTATAATGAAAAAGTCAAATTTCAAGGCGAGCAGCAACCAAAAATCTTTCCCATAATGGTAAAAAACTAGCCCAAGACCAAGGCCCAACTACGCGTACTACCTGATATTTTTTTATATGTACAAAATATCTTTTTGTGCTGGGCAAAATCATAAAAAATTGTTACAAAGTCATAAAAAGTCAAACAAATTTACAGGTAAGAGAAACACACGAAATAAGACAGTGCGGGAGAGGGAGAATGAGAATGAGGATGGGATGGGATGGGTCCTGACTGACTGACATGCGTTTAACGCGCTGCTTCCATCAATGATACGCGATAGGCACCTATGGTTCCTCGGGCTGGTCTCTGGTGTGTGGGTTCTGCTATGGATATTTCGCGCTCTTTGGCATCGCATCTTTTTACGACGCGTTTCGGACGCTGTAAGCGTAGGGGAGTCGATTTCCAAGTAAATCATAAAAAACATTCGATACGTTTAGTATGCCAGGATGCATTCAAGTCAGTCAGTCAGTTGGTCAGTCTGTCAGTCTGTGGGCCAGCATCCTGGGACTCAGCCTGAGTCTACATGTTAATTAGCCCAAAAGGCAATGAACCACTTCGACTTCGACTACTGGTTATCCGCGCTCTCTCACGTTCGCAAGGAGCTGTTAAAAATACTGAATCGTGATGGACTCTATGTAGAGAGGGTACTAGGGGTTGTTTCGGATTTATGATGAAGATGAAACAAGGAATATTGTGAGCTAAGGAGGAGAGAATATGCGCAAGGTAGAACATAAAGCTGTATTAAAAGGGTTATGAGGGATGGAAAGTCATTCCAACATTTTTGATCCAGTAAAATTAAAATCAAATTCTTCCCATATCTGACCATTATATATGGCTGGCATTAGATTGAGTTAGTGTAATTTTTCGGTAAATTTTCAGTACTAAAATTGCAATAAAAAAAAAACCAAAATAGCTTCGTTGTACAACGACTTGTCAAATATTTTAGGCCAGCCCTTCCCTTACATACAAATGAAAGAACACAGGGCATCAATCAGTCGATTCCCTCTTCACCCACTTCAATTGGTTGACTTACTGACCGTTTGACTTTTTTATTTGCGTGAACTCAAACTGTGCCCACCACTCGCATGTGGCCCACTGTGCGTGTCCATAAAAAATATCAAAACTATTTTTCGGCTCTCCCTATATCTCTCTCTATCTTTTTCGCCGACTCCTCGCTGTCCCGCTCTGGCACTGGCACCTTCAACTGTGAGGCGCGTCCTTGCCCTTTCATCGTAAAAGAAAATTCACTGCCGAGAATTACTTAAGTCAATGTAGGCAAAGATCATAAAAAGAGCAGCAAGTCCATAAGAGAAGAGTTGAACCTGGCTAACAGCCTTTTTATTGGGGCAGCCGGAAAATATTAAAAACAAAAAAACGGAAAGGGAAAGGGAAAGGGAAATTTTTGAACGCATTTTTGTCCGTTTGGAGTGTACTTGGTAAATGGTTTGGGAAAAAAGTGAAATGTCTAATGAAGTCGTAAAGTCTTTTGGGTCTACAAACATGTTGGCATGTCGCTCCTCTTTGGCTTAGGCTACTCTTTTTTTTTGTGATTTCAAGATTCTAGTTCATTGATTAATGGGAAAAGGAAACGGAATTTTATGTTGAAGGAAAGTTTTTATATTTTCTGTGGCTTAAGCTGAGAAAATTAGAAAATTATTGGAGAGGGTGGAAGCTGGAGCACCCAGCCTTTTTATGAACTTTTACGCTATAATATTGATTAAGAAAGAGTCGGCTTAAGAGACCATTCATCACTTCTATATCTAAAATATATTTCTGGCTAGTTTTTCACGACATAAATTGAGTTTTTAGCATAATTTTTCGCACAGTTTTTCTCATTTACTGCACCCCAAGGGCAAGCAACCTACGACCCCTTTTACCATACTCTGAATTCACCCCCTCGCAGGCCGGGTATGCGTGTGCGTTAATTAAATTTGTCCCTCATTTTTAATCAGCAGCCAAGGATCTCGCTCTTAAAATCCCGTCACTATTTGCTGTAAATTACAGAAAATTTCAGCTTGGGCGTCGCAGGGTTGCTATGAGGGAGAAAAGCTGATGGCTGCAGCTTGTCCTCTGCCGTAGAATTATTCATGATCCTTGGGCATAATCTTTCCCCCCTGCATTTTTTTTTACATATCTCCAATGGCAATTTGGATTCAGATTCCGATTCCGATTCCCCGAGCCTTTGTTTTGGGTAACATGATGAAGCACCGAATCAATGATGCCTCAAGGATGACATTCAATGACATTCTTTTGATTTTTATTTATGTCCTTGTAGAAATCCTCGCTGTGTGTTTTTTGGGTAGAAAAAGAACAGAAATCAATTGCGTTGTCTGCCTCGCCTTGCCTCGATAAGGAATTATTCCTTAAAAAACCAAAAAACACAATGGGAAATGGGCAAAAGAAAAGCAGCCACGTTACGGTGCTTGGCTGGCATTTGACACCCCATGTGTAAGGACACACTGTTCAGGTAGTCCCCCCGAGAGTGTGTACCCGGCATATGCATATTCGAGGCGTTTTCCTACCCCACCCCATACTGCCGTTTTTTTCCGCTTTTTTATGCAATTTTTAGCATGAACATTTGGGTTTCCTTCAGACTGTTTTAGGGGTTGTTGTTTAGGCAACTTTCTCTGCAGTTTGTTTTTTGGTAGTTTTTATAGCGAGTTGCCTTAATTGCGTTCTTTCATTCCTGCTTTCTTTCATTCTTTCCTACTTCCTATTTGAGTTCCTGATCCTTGCCTTGTGGCTGTCTTCGATTTATTTCTGCGCATTTTCCCTTAAAAAGTATAAATCAAGGAGAGGTTTCTTTCTCTTTTTATTTGATTTAGCAGCAGCAGTTTCCCACGAGTTTTAAGGTAAAAAATTGGAAATCTTTTTGCATCTTTTGGATCTTTGGGCAGAGGACAGTTAAGGACCGAGGACTAATGAAGTATTTGTTTAGGGTAATTGGGCAGCAGAAAAAGATGGCTGTCAGGCAGGGTGATGAGTGATGCGAAGATAAGTGAAGGTAAGACGGCTTTTGTGGGACTTAAAAATGTATTCGGAAATAAAATAGTAGAGGCAAAGATTGCAGGAAAGGTATACAATATTTTTAACACCAACGAAAGAGCTTTCACGGCACAGTAAAGATCTGACATAAAACATTTCCCCAACATTAAAACACACACTACGAGGTATGCCTTAGTATGTCTGTATTTTCCCTGACTCTTTATTCTACTTCAATTTCCATGGTGTCTGCTTTTTGGTACTCACCATTTGGGTCCTGCAATTTCAGGCATTGCTCCGAGTCCCTCACATCCTTGCTAACATTGTTCAAGTGTCCATAGAGAGCAACTGCTGCTGCTGCTCCAGTCAGTCCTAGTCCGAGTCCCATTCCCACTCCGAGTCCCTGCTCCTGTTCGGGCTCCGTTTTCAGCTGCAAAGGCGCTGAAGCATTGTCGTTGGCCGTCTGCTGTCCTGCTGGTTCATCCTTTGGCTGCTCAACATATTCATCACACGACTGCAGCTTCAATTCAAGCGTTGGCTTCTGGTCTTGCTCATCATCATCATCGTCGTGTTCCATCGTTTCATCGTTGGATGCGCGCGACTGGGAGGACTGGGAGGAGGTGGAGGAGGTGGAGGACTGCTGTGAGGATGAACAGCAGTAGGAGCCACTGTGATTTGCGCTGACATTGCGCATATTTGTGTCAACAGCAGTCAAAGTTTCATCTTTGTTCGAGTCGCGAGCACCGCAAACGGAGCGGGACATGGAACTGGAGGTGGATGTGGACTGGGATCTGGGGCTCGTTAGGTTGGTTTCATTCACGGCCACAAGCTGTTGACTTGGCTCGAATTTAAAGTTGCCAACTGCAAAAGAGAAACAAACGCGGTTTAGGGTTTAGGGTCTAGGAAGGTGTTTTTTTAATTGAATAATTCGAGCGTAAATGTATTTCTAAGGAAGATTGTGTTTAGTTTTAAATTTTAAGTAACATTTTTTAAGAAAAAGTGTGGGACTTTATGTCTTAAAAAGTTGTTTGTAATTACCTTACAATATAGCCCTAATAGTCACACCTCAGACCCCATTTTGTGTTTTTAAATATATTCAAATCTCTTGTGAGGAACCAATCACAAACAGGCACAAAAAATCATTTCGTAAAGGGTTGACTTTCGCATTTACATAAGCGTCTCCGTTATGAAATCACAGCAACCCTTTTTAATGTCACCCCCGAGAGCCAACGCTACCGCTCTCTGGCGCCATTTGAATAAGCTCCTGAATGCCTGTCCTCTCTGGTGGGCCATAAAAAAGGGGTTGATTTACATAAAAAACGGCCGGGCAGGCAGGCAGGCCTTCATTTTAATATTCCCCCCCACAGGGGTTGGATGTAGCTCGCTCTCAGTACGCACACTCGTTGAGCCTCTGGAAAATATGCTGATAACGTAATAATTTTCTCGGTGGACGGGCTGACAATGGGGGACGGGACGGGGAACTCTTAAAAAAGCAACCAACCGGGCACATTTCATTGGCTGAAGTGCCTTGAACGCCGCATGTGGTGTGCCCGGCCGTAGAAAAGGGGCAAAAAAAATGAAAAATATTTTCATGGCAAGGCGTTGAAATGTGCCTCGAGTAACTGATGCTTGAAATAGCGGCAGGACATCATCGCCATTGACGCTTCAGGGTAATTCCTCTGCGCGCTGTGCGCCGGAATGCCGAATGAGTCAGCCAGATGGCTGAGTTTTGAAGTGTGAAAGTTGTGAAGAGGTAAAGCGAACCATAGGAATTTTGCCACTGAATTTTCTTACATTTCTTAACTGAAACTTAAGGGAATTTTAGAGCATAAATAAATATTTTCTGCATGCTTTTGGGTCTATTTATCTTTGATTCCCTATTCTTTAACATTTCCTAGAATTGTTATTCAATATTTTTTGTCATCTAATTTTTTATCTGCAAGTATTTAGGAGCTGCGGTGTTTCGATTTCTCGCTTCAGCGAGCCCAGCAAATCCCCAGCCTGTTGCGCAACCTTCTCAAATCTTTCCTCAAAGGTGCCGGCCGTCAGGGATACGGTCCAAGGATAAACTGCAAGTACAAACGAATTGCAGGATGCGTTCGATGCAAACAAAGACGCTGAAAATTATTAGATTTTTTACCGTTTGACAGGGAATTTCAATTCGACAATTACGAGGAAGCAGCAGCCAGCAAAAGGTTCCATAACTCAGGGTCATAAATATGTGTCAGCCAGGGTTTTAATTAAGTACAAAACGAAGAGAACAGAACTGCAGAAAATTGAGGGGGAGCTATCAAAAGAGAGAGACCTGTCTGTCCATCCATCTCTTTCTTGCAGGTGTGCGCCGGAATCAAAGGAGGTGTTGCTTGGGTCCAGAAGGTCTGCAGGCGGCAGTGAATACCGCAATACAGAAGCAACAACGAAGAACCACCAACGACCGACGACCGACAGGCGAACGATCGAGAGAGCGAGCGCATCGTGGGAACAGCACATTGCGCAAAGGACAATGGGCAGGGAACCCAACCTCAGCTCACCTCACACATAACCAAGTGCAATTTGGCTTTTGTCCCATGGTAGCTGGTCTGCACCCGCTGCGTATTTCGGCAAACAAAGTGTAACTGTAACACTGCCAAAGAAGACGACAAGAAGGTACATACATACAAAGGTGAATCCCGAATGATGATCACTAAGCAGCTCGCCCAGCCCAGGCCCATTGTAATCTCTTCTGGCTAGGCACCAGCATCAAATCGAAAGAGAACAAAGCGAAAAGTGATTATTGTTGCGACTTTTGCTCTTTTGTGCATCGGGGGAAATGTGAATTTATTACCGGCAACGACGTTTTTTTTGATTATATTTCTTCTATTTATCATTTGTATATCCATATAGCAGAGGGTAATTTTACTCAAAACTTTCTGCGCAGAAGAAGCATTTGCGACACTGCCATACATAATATTTGGATCTATGAATACCACAAGAGACAACATAAACTTGTAGCAGAATGTTCAATGAATGTTCAAAGAAAATCCTGCAAAAATTGTTTGGGTATTGTTTAATACTCTAACTTATATTGCTATTATTGCGAACAAATAATATACTAAATATTCAAATCATAAATCTTCCAACTTAAGCCTTAAAAATTTGAGTGGGAGTGTAACCAAGTACTCTTGCAGCTACCTAAAGCCTCTTCCTCTCTCCTACTCTTTGCTACACCTTTTTGTCATAAGCTTTCGTACACTCGAACACGAGACCGCCCAATGCATGCCGCCAGGCCAAGCAGAACCCAAACACACACACCCACTTCCAGCTAAAGCTCTCTCATCTGTTGCTCCTCTCTGTGGTCGGTCTCATTTAAATAACGGTGCGGGCGCTGTCTCTACCTGCGCTCTGTTTAATGCGCTTTAAGCACGCAACGTGGCCGTTCTTTGCATACGCTGAGCACAATTAGCGCATTTAATTTGCAGTGCGTTGCAGCCCTCGCACCCCCTCAACCATCATTCATAATCGCTGCCCCCGGCCCCATAAGTTTTGACGCCCCCGCTTTTTACACGCCTTTCTACACTTCGCTGCTTGTTTGCATAAATTTCGTGCCAGGCACCTGCTTCCTCTCTCTCTCGCTCTCCCTTCGCTTTGTACTTTGCATGTGCAGCCGCTCGAGACGCCACGTATCTCTCGCTCTCTCGCTCTCTCTCTCTCCCTGTCTGTTGCTGCTCCTTTTTTGTGCGTTGTTTTTGCGTTTTGTAATTGCAGTTATTTGGCCACACCGCACATTATTAAGGCAAACAGCGGCCGCGCAAAAAATATGTTTTAAATTGCGAAAATGCATATTAAATACATATATTTAATTTAATTTTGATTTCTATTGCATTTAAATTTGTGGCAGCTTAGCTCCAAATGAAGTGAAAATGTGTTGCAAGCTCGATGGTGGGCAATTATGGGGGGATTTATTATTTTTCAATTACTCAGTTGTTAGGAGCTATGGAAGAGGAGTTGTTTTTCAGTTATTGAATTGGTTTATGCGAGAATGAATACATTATGAAATAAATGAAACGCTTATTTTTCGTTGAATGATCATAATAATTGATAGGTGGGGGCTGGCAGAGTTTATGCAGAAAGCAAATCAAATGTTTAAAAGTCCTAGCTTGGAACAAACAAGAACAAAGCCAAAGCCTTTCCCACACATTTTTGTGTCCAGTGTTTCACTAACCAATGACCCGCAACATTTTTAATGATTTTCTAGCTGTTCTTTTTGCCATTTTTTTGCACAATTTAAAATCAGTTTTTTCCCAAGAAAACACTCGATTTAATGCTGGTTGCCATAAAATGCCCTTCCTGCTTCCCACTTTTTTTTATCAACACAAAGAAAATACGTTACGAAATTGTGCCAAAAAGGCTGCGATGGGAAAAATAATTTCAAGAGGTTAAAATGTCACTTAAGCGGATTCAATTTTTATATTTTTTGCCACCCGATATTTGTTTTCGCGCAATTACTTTCCCAAAATTTGTGCAGATTTTTCATCAATTTGAGCGCGCATTGAAATAGTTTTGATGGCAGCTGCTGCTGGTCGCTCTCTCAATAAAGGGGTGGAAAAGGGGCTATCAATAAATGTGGGCATGGCTCTAAAAAAAGTAGAGAGTAAAAAATGAATATCGATTTTCAACCCTGTTTTGCATGACACGCAAAAAACCTTCGACAGAGAAATTCAAAAAACTCCAAAGGCCAATAAAAAATTGTTGAAAAAACAGTAGGGGCAGAGAATGGAGGCAGGCCCAGGCTAGAGGCATATACAATGACTATATATCAGCAGAGATATCATTGTGCGCATCACGCAGGGGGAACGGGTGGCAGAGAGTGAAAATACTTTGAAATCGAAATCAAAAATCAGCGCGTGCTCAGCCGCAGCTCGAAAAAGGATGCACCCTGAGCCCGTGCTGCGCATGCGAGCAGACTCATGTTTGTTATTGTGTAACCCAATGCCGAAACTCTGTTAGGGTTACAGTCATGTGTCCTCGGGGTTCTCCGGGCTAGCCGGCTTTAAAATTGTTTCGAGTGAGTCGCTAAATGTGGCGGAACTTGCAGCTTCGCTCCTCTGCCAATGGCCTCGTCTGGTCTCGCATTTATCATCATTAAAGGCGCACGCATCGATCGAATATCCTCTCCCTATCCCTATCCCTATTCCAGAACATCCTTTCACTTTTGTCAAAGGCTTGTGGCTACTGCGGGTCCCAGCTGCTCTGCGCTCCCTCTATTTGTATAGAAATTTAATTTGACATGCAAACACATTCTCCAGTTGTTGGGGGTGTCCTGCGAAAGGATTTCAATTTCGTTTCAAGCTGTCGACGGCATCTGACTGACTTCCCTACTGTAACACGATACACCAGGAGTACACACCAAAGAGTGAAGGTAATTTGCGACAAATTTCCACATTTTCACAGGCAAAGTGAAAGCCGTCCATGCAAATGCTTTTTTCCAGCTGTTTTCCCTCCTTGCAAAATTCATTTTCCTCTCGAATTTCCCTGAATTTTGTTAGCTAAAAATGTTAACAAGCAACAATTAATGAGCCCTGGCCAACAACAAGCAATTTAATTTATGTTTCCTGCAGTTCTCATTTTCTTCTTTTAGAGCAAGAGAAAAATTATTCATTTAGATGCTCAGCTTAGATATGTGTTAAGTGAATAATTGTGGGGTAGCTGAGTAACGAGGAGGGGCACCCGGGTGAAAAATAATACAAAAATTATATTTTACTTATACGTTTTGGGATATGGTAAACACTTATCGATTGGCATAGTTATTGAAGCCATAAAATGTGTGACATATAAGCAATAAATCAGCATTTTAATGGCCTAATATTTCAATTTTTATTTTA